ACTTTTGTTGTATTTCTGTCTTTAAAATCCAAACAAACCCAGCCCCTTCTTGCCCTAGCTCACTCCTCTGAGCTCCTGGAGCAGGGTCAGCCTGGGGAGGCGTGGGGGCCCCCAGAGCCCCCCAGAGCAGTGACAAGGCCCTGCCTGGGGGTTTCTTGGCTGGGATCTAACCTTGGCACCAATGTCTAACCTTGGGGTTAATAAACTCACTGAAAAGTTTGTTTTCATGCTCATTCTCTTTGTGTCCCTCTCTCGACACTGAGCCAGATTCTGCCATTAATTAAATTTACAGTGCTTCATTTCACTTTGCTGAGTGGCCACGGGCGCAGATAAAGGCAGAGCTGCCTCCTCAGCACTTTGTGTGACAGAGCCCAGGCCGTGGCTCTTGCGGCCTCCTTTCCGCCTGCCTGCGCTGGGGAGGGCTGCAGCGGCACGGGAAGGGTAAAAACCCTTTAACAGCAGAGAGGCGAGAGTGGTGACACCGAGACTAATGCAGCCGCGGCAGGTCATTTCCATCTCACTCGCAGGATTGCTCCCCCGGGGATGCATTTTCCAGGCACTTAGCACTGGGCACAGCTGGAGGAGGGAAATGGGACCATTTCATTAAGCTGAAGGATGAGCTGGGTGTGTGGGAGGATTGCAGCCGGGCCGGGATGCTGCATCGGCATCAGCTTTTCCCAGTGCCAGGCTGTGCCCCTGAGCTGGGGTCCAGGGCCAGCTCTGGAGCCATGGAGCTCATTCCTCAGCTCACTGTTCCCAACCCTGCCAGGGATCACGGCCATCCCAGGATAAAGTGCTGTAAATGCCCCTCGGGAGCAGGCACCGCTGCCATCCTCCTGCTGCTCCCCGGGCAGTGCATCTGTCGGGGTGAGCCCGGCAGGAATGAGCCGCCCTGTGGGACCCGCCCTGAGCACAGCACGGCTCCCTCCCGCTGCAGATGATCCCAACACTGCGCAGCACTTCAAACCCTGCGGGAATTCCCTCGGGACACGGCCCGGCATGCAGCCCGCAGGGAAAGCTGCACGCCAACAGCAAGTCAGGGTGAGGCAAGTGAGTTTCTTTGGAGGAAAACAGCAGGAGCTTGTGCAATGCCACTGATTTTCAGCACACGTGGGATGGAGGTGCTGAAGGAAAACAGCCAGGACAAAAAAACCACCTTGGAATAGGCAGCGTGGCAGGACAGCACAGCGGGATCATCAGGTGGGAACATCTGTCACCAGTGCCCACACACAGAGAGAGCAAGCCAAGGCCAGCTCTGCCTGCCAGAAAGTGCAGAAACCCTCTGGAAGCTGCCTGCAAAGCTCCAGGAGCGACTCTAGGGTCCGGCTCAGAAAGGGATAATGGCAGGAAGCCATAAGATATTAAACCAGCAGATTAAAACATACAAGACCACTTTGGGTCGTGTTACACCTCCCTCCCCTCCCGCCTGACAGCACGAGAACTCCAGGGCAGTAAAAGAGAACCCTAATGGCCCAATAACTCTGGGATAAAAGCGCTGGGGGAGCTGGCTGTGAGGAGCCCAATGACTGCTGGGGGAGCTGGCTGTGAGGAGCCGGGGGGGAGCTGGCTGTGAGGAGCCCGGGGGGGGGAGCTGGCTGTGAGGAGCCCAATGACTGCTGGGGGAGCTGGCTGTGAGGAGCCCAATGACTGCTGGGGGAGCTGGCTGTGAGGAGCCGGGGGGGGGAGCTGGCTGTGAGGAGCCCGGGGGGGGGGAGCTGGCTGTGAGGAGCCGGGGGGGGGAGCTGGCTGTGAGGAGCCCCGCCTGGGCACGGAGCCCCCCCGGAGTGCTCCCGGCATTATCCCTTAAGTGCTCGTTTAAGCTGCCTTGGAAATGCCCCTGCTCGCTGGAGAAACGCAATTAGGCCCCAAAGTACGGGAGATGTTCACACGCTATGGATCATCCTTAAAGATGACAGGAGACTGCAGCGCTCTGGATTCCCTCTGCGTCATTCCAGGAACTGCCAGGCCCCAGATCCGTGTCCCTTTCCCTGCTAGTGAGCCATGGCAGCACAGCAGCACCTCCAGTGACTCACAGAACCCCAGGCTGGCTGGAACAGAGCCGACAGACATCCAGGGGCAGGGACAGCTCCCAGCAGGGCAGTGCTCCAAGCCTGCTCTGCACAGCTCTGGGGTGGGAAGGAGCAATCCCTCCCTCCCCACTTGGTGGCCTGGTGGGGCCTTTGGGGCTCGGGTGTCACCAGAGCAATCTCTGAGCCCGGGGATCAAAGGCTGTGTGTGTGGAGATGATCCCTCTCTGGACAGACAATCCATCTCCAGAGTCATGGCAAGGATGCTCATCAGCCAGGCCAATGGACTCAAATTAAATAACCTCTTCCTGGCACTTAGTGCTGAGCACAAATTTAGCAGGAAGACAAAAGGCAGGTTTTAGACCTGGTCCACATTTGCAAATCCCTGTGCTCTACAGGCAGAAGTAGGGCTTGAAATGCTGAGTGACAGCCAAATCCCTCACCCAGGTTGTGCTGCTGGACACAAGTACTTTCACAGAGCATGAGAGACACAGCACAGCTCATACAGCCTCGGGAATTTGCTCCTGGAAACACAAAAAACCCATGGCCAAGCAGGAAAGCAGGTGGAGAGTGAGCTCTGCAGAAAGAGGGAGGGAAGGAAAAGTGCTTCCACAATGTCAGAGACTGTTCTGGATTCAAATATGACATTGCCAAAGTTCTGCCAGGCTCGCACAGCCAATCCCCACTCAAAGGTAACCCAGCAAAGCCGGGACTGAGGTTCCAGAAGAGCAGGAGCACCATCACTGCTCTGCTCCACACTGCCCACCTTCCATCGGGCTGGGTTTGCATCCCCATCACAGCCCAGTCACAAGAGCTCGCTAATGGATCAGCTTAAGTATCCAACATCTCCAATCCCTGCTCTAGAAAATAATCAATCCAGCCCTTAATTAGCAACATCAGCAAGGAGCTGCCCAGAGACCGCTAACAGGGAACAGAATAAATTATCCATCTCAGGTGGGATCCCACACCAGGGCAAATCCCTCATTCGGTCTTTGGGGGGGTGTCACTCACTCCAGCCTGACACCAGAGGGGCAGAGACCTTCATACACCAGCATGAAGGGCTCTTACAAGCACACACAGCTCAGTTATTTCCTTAAAAGAACTTTAATTGGAATTCCATCCTTATGGCAAATGACACACAGAAGGAGTATCCAAATTTGCTGTGTTACATCAAATGGAAGTCCTTGGTCAATGTGAAATGCATATGTTGGGCCAAAGGCAAGGATCTGTTCACATGTGGCATTAACAGAACCAAAGGAGCTGCTCTGGCCTGCAGCTTGCACTCCGAGGTGATGGTGGTGGGAAGGGAGAGCTCACTGAGCTTCAGGTACCCCCAGGGAAACCCTGGCCCCACTGAGCTCAGCTGTGCCACCCTCCTCCCAGGGGACAGCAGGAGGCCAGCTCTGACACCACCACACCCCTCTGGTGCCACAGCACCTTCTCTGAAATGCAGCGAGGACCCAGGGACAGGTTAAAAACAGACTCAAAAAGAAAAATTCACTCAACAATGAAAAAATAAGCCAAACTGCAGAGTGTTAAAGCAGGAAAACAAGCTCACCCCTTTACCTCCCATTTCTTCCCTCAGGACACCACGGGCTGTTCCTAACTCCCCAATTTCCAGTTGATATCCTGAGGCCAGAGCTCCACAGTGCTGCGTGAGCTGCAAACGCAGGGGGACACAGCACTGACAGGGCTCAGGAAGGCACCTGCACCATGGATCCATCTCTCCTCAGGGCACACACTCACCCAACCCGCTGGCCATCGGCCTGGGAGGTGAGGACCCTCTGACAGCAAACAGCACCACCAGCTCTGTGAGACTGGCTCCATCTGATAAAAGCTGGAAAATTAAGTGATTTCCACATGATGCTGTAATAGCAGCAACAAAGTAATTATCCCGCTTGTGGTTAGAACACTCAAAAGTGAATTTTAAGTACCTTTTATTACTGGGGACAAATGTAATGCCTCAGAATCAGTGCCAGCTAGTATTTACAGGACTCTCTCCAGTATGAAAATGAAAAGCCAACTGTAGTTATAATACCACAAGGTTCATATGATGTTAACCTCTGCTTTCCACACTTGTAAATGTGGTGGTCACAGCCTGGACCACCTGAAGGTCTGCGTTTCCCCCAGCTGTGAGGAAACAGGAGTGGGCAGGAAGATTTGATGTGACAGACCAGACTGCTTTGCACTGATCCCACAGTGTCACGCAGAGAGGTGAAACAGAGGAAGGTCTTTATCAAGGAGAGGTGTAAGGCCAGTGTTCCCAGACATCCTGGACATTTGTGCTCCTTTTGCCTGCCCAGGCAGCGAGCAGAGCCCAGGGGGAGGGAGAGGAGGGAGAAGAGAAGCTCCTGGCTCCCTGCCACTGAAACAGGCACAGGCATGAGGGGTCAAGGAAGACTTTCTGTGGGGAACAGGGTGCTGCAGGAGGTTCTGGCACTGGAGGAATCTCAGCCTGTCTCACCCTGGGAAGCAGGTATGGCAGTGGAGCAAGCAGCTCTCCAGAGGTATTTGGGATTTACAGCACTCCATGGGTGCTCAACACGGGATCCATCCGTTCCTTTGGTACCCCATCCTTAATTCCAACAACAAACCAGAACGGGACAGACCCCTGATACACCACAGGAGGCCTCTTCTCTCTTTAAACAAACACCCTGTTCCCAAAGGACCTGAGGTGCAAACTGCTGAGCAGATCAGCCGGGCTGAGCAGCACAGCATCTGCTTGCCAGCCACCAGCAGTTCCCAGGAACCAGCCTGCAGTGCCCAGGTCTGGCATTTCAGTGCTAAGGACATCAAGTAAACGGGTGCCCAAGGAGGTGCCAGCAGGCTGCCCCACGAAGGGCTCGGTGCCGCGGTCACAGCTTTGCTCCTGCCCCGCAGGCAGGCAGGCAGGCAGGCAGGCAGGAGGGGACCCTGTGCCCCGGGGGGCACACCCGGTGCCAGGGCCCTGCCAGCACGGCCCTGCTGGGCATCTGCAGCGTGAAATCCAAACCACTCTGACCCATCATCTCCGTTTGAACAACAGCAATCAAGCCAGACAATCCTACCTACGGCACTCCATAGGTACCCCACAAAACCACAGTACTGTGGCACAGTAGAAAGCACAGAGTGGATCTATAAACCTCCTGGAGAACAAGCCTGACTTCCTACATTTACTTCACCAAACACAAAAAGCCCTTTTGAAATAAAAATAAGAAGAATTTAAAAACCCATTCTGCTTAACAGATAAGCCAACATGTTTCCACACATGCTCCTGCTAGACTTGAAACACACAGTTTCAATGGAGCAAATTCTCCAGTATTACCCAAGCAGGCTAATTCCTTTCAAATTATGCTCAACAAATACTTTCCTGCAGATAATGAAAATGTTTTTCCTAGAAAATGTAAACAAGTTTTGTGCGTTCTACTATCCCAGCTAAGCTTTCACAGGAAGTTTCCGGCAGGAGAAAACCAAAACAAAACAAAACAAAGCCTTATCTTTATGTCTATAAAAAAAAAAAAGAAAAAAAATATATACACATACACACCTTATTAAAAAGCATTAGAAGTAACCTGATCTCCAAAGTCTCCAAAGCCAGCTGCAAAGTCCCTCTCAGAACAGACAACAGACTGTGCTGGTCACACTGCACCTCAAGCAAAACCAAAATCAGTGCACCTTCAACCTGGCCAAGTTAATAAGCTCCTGACCACCCCGCACACAATAAATCCCTGCATAGAAATAGAAGCTAACTGTAAAAAAGCTGTGTAGGATTTTCAGTGTGTCCTGCTGGGCTCACAATAAGTCCCATCGGGGTCGGATGACAGGAGATCTCCTCACACCTGACAGGATAAATGCCCTGATCTCCCTACTTCCTACAACTCTCCTCAACCGAAGGAAACTCCAGAAGGATGCCCCCAGCCAGGCCGTGCGTGCTGCAGGCCCGCAGCAGCCCTGGGCTGTCCCGAGGGCTGCTGGCTGCTCACAGGGGCTGGCTGCTGAAGAACGCCTTGGTCTCCCGGCACACGGGGTTGACGCACAGCGGGCAGCACAGCGTCAGCTGCCGGGAGCACACCTCGTTGGACTGCAGGTGGGAGCACACCAGGTCTGCCAGGGCCTGCGGGGAGGGGGGAGAGGTCAGAGGGAGCAAATCCAGCTGTGCAATGCCCCCAGCCCAACCCGGGCACCCCGCGTCCCCTCCTGACCAAACCGCACGAACTGCCGCACAAGGAACCCCTCCTATATCAGCTACACGGGGTTCCGTTGCTGCTCTGAAACTCAAAATGCCTTAAAACCACCTGAAAACATCCACACCCAGCAGGAAACACAACTGCAAACCTGTACAGCCACTGCAACATGGCACATACCTTGGAGAAGAGTGGATTTCCATTGAGAGACTCCGCTCTTCTGATGTTTTCAACTCCACACTGAATCAAAAATAAGGAGACAAAAGTTAAATCTGTTCATCTGATCCTTCACTGAGTAGCCTCCAAAATCGTCCCACTTCATTCACCCCAAAATGAATGGATTAAATGCAGTATCACACCAAAAATTACTATGGGGCAACATTACATTGTGTTGTCATCCATTCACTGAATGAATGAAAATGACTCATTGTTTTTGAGCAATATTTGTAATGGTTTAAACACCTAAATCTAGAAAGACAAACTCCCACCTGTTTTGTGGTTAAGCCAGTTCAGGTTAATTTTTGATTTACAGGAAAATAAAGCTAACCCCAAATAATATTGCAAGAAGCAACTACCAAGCAAATTGGAACCCAGGAGAAATAATTTCAGAGCAGGGACCAACCCACAGAGCACTGACCTCGTTGGCCAAAACCTGGGCATACTCGATGTCCAGCTCATACAGAGTCTCAATGTGGTCACTGGTAAATGCTATTGGGACCAGCAGCATGTTCTTCTTTCCTCTCTGGCACAGGCCCTTAATGGTCTCGTCTGTCTGGGGACCAAGCCAGGGCATTGGTCCCACCTGGAACAAAAAGGCAGAAATAAAGGGAAAACACTCATCAAATCACTCTTACAAAGAGCACCCACATTTCCTTAGGCAGCATGACAGAGCAGGTTACGGATGGGATACAAACAGTTATTTTTATTTCCCTGCTTCTGGTTGTACTTCTCACTCTCTCCATTGAATGTTTAATGAAGACACACTTCCCACCATTACATCTCAAAGGAACAGAACCTGGGCTGGCCTGAACAAGACTGAAGAAAATAACCAAAACTGTAAGTAAAGGTGTATTTTTTCCAGTCCAGCGAGACCCTGCACAGGCTTTACCTGCTCAGCTCCCCCGAGCACTTACCTTGGACTGCCACACCAGCCTGTAAGGGTTGGAGTAGTTGAGCTTCTCCATGACCCTCTGGACAGTAGCTCCCACTTCCTGAGGGTAGGGATCACCACGGTTCACCACCTGCACCCAAGCACAGCACGCCTTTGGCACGGTGAACACCCTGGGAAGGACCAGGCCTGCCTGGCACTCCCACTCTGTGTGCCCACACCCTGCCCTGGGTAACTCACAGACATGGGCAGCGAGTGGGCTGAGAAGAGGATGACCACCTCTTTCCTTTTGTCTGGTGGGAACAGGTTCAGCTCCTTCTGGATGTGATCGGCAAAGCACTGCTCAGGGAAACACAAACAAAGCCCTGAGTGGGGAGCACTGCAGGCATCCCTGCTCTCAGAGATGCACACAGGCAGCTCCCATGTCCTGCTGCCTTGGGCACTCCCAAATTCCCCCAGTGTGCACCACACTCAGTGTGTCAGGAGTCACCAGCACAGGCAGCTCCACCCCGCCTGCCCTCGGTGCTTTCTCACCCGCTCAGCACACCACAGAAACTGCAAACCCCCCCAAAACCTCCCTCATGAAGACCAAAGAGCCATTTTCTCTGGAAAGAGAGCAGCACGAAGGCTTCCCTTCACTGCTCCTGCCACAGCCAGGAATTACCCTGTGCTGCCAGACGGGAAAAACCGACACAATCTGTGTGTGTGCTGGCCGCAGAGCTGCTCTGAGCAGGAATTTGGACTAATGGCCTGCAGAGGTTCCTTCCAGCCACCACCATTAGGGTAACATCCCCAGCTTTTAAAACAGGAGGTGCACAGTGGTTGCTTTCACACATTATCCTGCCAAAGCATGGGGCATGAAATAACTCTCCTCCTGTAATTTCAGACATGATAGACAAGACCCATTTCATCACACAGCTAAAGTGCACCCTCAGACTGAAGCCTTCCTGTTATCCTCCCTCAGTATTTGTTTCTATGTTTTAAAAGAAAATGTGTAACTTCAGATCCACACCTGAATGAGAAGGGGATGTGTGGGCCATCGGTCAATTATGCTCCACTTCATCTTGGGCTTCTCCCCTCTCTGGTTATAGTAGCGATAAATGGCATTTAAACTGCTTCCTGAAACAGAGAATTCACAACACACGTTCAGCCAGGCCACCAGCAAGCTGTCAGACTGGAACAGCTCGGCAGCAAGCTATAATCATATTTTAAAATGCTGCCTAATTAAAACCCAGCCGTAAATCAGAGCTGAGAGTCCCCAGTGGGAACAATTACACCCCAGCTCACACAGCACAGCAGGCTGGCCAGAGGCTGCCCCACACGCCCAGGGCTCACCTGTGGTGGAGCAGCTGTACTGGGGGTACTGGGTGAAGGCGATGGCCCTCTGGATGCCGTCCCTCTCCATCTGCTCCACGGCCTCCTCGGTCAGCGGGTGCACGTAGCGGAACCCGATGTAGTACTTGTGAGGGGCTGCCACACAGAGCAGGGCAGGGACAGGGAGAGTCACAGAAACACATTGTTACAGTCACACACACGGAACAGCGGGCTGGACTGCTGAAATTAGCCTGCTGGTATTTTCTGGCTGCTTTGGTAAAGCTCTGTCATGTAAGCACATTTCTGGTCCTCACTGGGCTGTGATTAGAATTTAGAAGTGATTTATAGTATGGTTTGTTTCTGCAGGAACATCACTAGCCTGCTTCTCCTGCACTTAGCAGAGGCACAGTTCCCAGCCTGGACAGAGCCCCGGTGCCTCACATGGCAAGTCCTGATTTTAAGGACATAAAGGTAAAACAGTGTCACTAGCAGAAGCTAAATGAACACCCCGATGCCCTCACAGCTCCAGCTGCCCTCCCTGCCCTGCACGCCTGCTCTGATGGCACCCATGCCCCTGTGTGAATCAGGGACACGTGCTCTCCCATCCTGATTTTGGAGGGCTTTCATAAAAAGCTGCATGGCTTTAACACCTAATTCTGGCAGAAATGTGATTCTCCCTGAGCACATCTCAGGTTCCTCCATTTTTTATCTCCAATCTTTTGGGTGCCAGCTTTGGGAGCATGGCTTGGTTAGGGACGGGAAGCAAGCAGGGGAGGTTTGCTGTTTTGTTTTTTTAAGTGGAGGACAGAGGTTCTTAGGAGAACAAAAGCAAAGTTTCTTTGTCAGGGTTTCCGGGTCAGTGGCTCTGAACTAACATTTATCAGGTTTCTGAAGGAAGCAGATGTCCCGTGCTTGGGCTCCACTCCGTACACTCGTGCAGGATTCAGAAACAGGTTTAGTCAGCCCCAGCTCTCTGCAGGAGGCAGGGGAGCTCCCAGCTGGGAGCAGCAGCAAATAAAGACCCAAATTCAGGAGCCCTTGAGCCAGTAACCCCATTAACATCTCTCAATGGCACTAAAGACAGCAGTCTGACTGACCACAGCAGGGACTGGAGGAGTTTAACCTGGGAAAGCACATTTTGGGAAGAACAGGGCCAGCCTGGAAGCAATGCCCTCCCAGTGCCAGGTTTTGTCCAGGGCATGGGCAGCAAAGAGAGCTGTTGGTGTCTGGACACAGGCTGTTTAAATAATAGTGCTCTGCACATTCTATTGTTAAACTGCAGCTGCTGTCAAGTCAAAAAGGAGCCTCCAGAGGACTTATCAGGTGGGAGAGGTGCCCAGAGAAGGGTGTGACTGCACAGAGAGTGGTCACCAAACAAAAGCAAGTGGGAGCGGGACACTGGGAAAAGCAGATAAACCTTCCAAGCCTTATCTGCAGAACCTGCTGCAAGGCTGACCCTTCAGGGCTCCTGCTCCACGAGCACTCCTGCCTCGGATGACACAGCAGGCCTCAGGCTCTGACTGCACCTGCAGGGACCACAGCTCAAACTGATGCTACCTGGCACAGTGGCACAGGCTGTCCCATGCCAGCCATCCCTGCTGGGAGGGATTCTGTGACACAGAGACAGGGCAAGGAGGCTGTACTCATGTCTGAAGGTTTTCCATCACGAAGGACTGGCAAAGAGAGCCTCTCCTTCCCTGCCAGCCAAGCTGTCCAGCCTTATCTCCTGCAGTGTCCCTGCGTGGGGCTCGCTGCTATCGCTCAGCCTGCCCTGCACTGCCCATCTGCAAAGCCTTGTCTTTGCTCCAGCTGTGCTCCTCTCAGCCCTGCAGCAGCGGCTGACAACAGCACTCTGAACCCCCCCTCCCACGCCCACCTTGGTGCTCACATGAAATACATTCCCCTTTCCTCCCCTCTAGGCCTCAGCCACTTGTCCTCAGTGCAGGCCTCCTCAGGCCCAAGCAGGGCTCACAGGGCAAGGCACGCTGCCTGGCAGTGCCACACACCGAGGGACACTCCTGGCACCTGAAAACAACACACTTAGTCTGCCACAGCCATCTTCCCATGGTCACAGGAGAGACAGAGGTGGCCCCCCGAGCCCAGCCTTCCATAAAACCTCACAATGGACGGAATCCCTCCTGCACTGTCTTTGCCATGGGATTTCCCAGCAGGGAGGGAACGCACACCGCCCCACGAGGAAACCAGGCAGCCAAAGCTGCTTTGCAGCAAACAGTCCAGAGAACAGAAGCAGCCCGCGGGGGCCGAGCAGAGCAGTACCAGTGCCAGGAGACATGCTGTCCAGCAGCTTCACCATGCCCTCTCCCTGCAGCGCCGTCCACTTCTTGATGGGGGAGCCGCCGCCGATGCGGCTGTACTGCTCCTGGATCTTGGGCGTGCGGCGCCGGGCGATCAGCGGGGCCAGCTTGCTGCAGGGGAGAGGCGCGTGTTACCAGACAGCCCGAGCTCCCTCCCGAGCTCTGCCCTGCAGCCTTGGCCTGGCAATCTCTGCCAAATGCAGCACGGCTTGTGCGGTGCTCTGCTCCACCCCCCTTCCCACACCTCGGCCCGCAGCTAACAGAGAACAGCCACGGCTGGCCCAACCCAGAGGGCTCCAGCACTGTCCCCTGCCCTGGCGGCTCCCAGCAGGAAGCACTCTCGGGGAGTGCTGCCCTCCACAGAAGTAAATATTTACAGCAACACCCAACACCGCCTGTACCACAGCAGATCCCAGTGCTCCTCACTTCTGAACGGGAAGGGTCATCAGATCCCTGTCCAGGAAGAGACGCAGCAGGAAATCGTGGACGTCGTCCAGCCGCTCCGGGCCTCCCATGTTCAACATCAAGATCCCTGTCTTAGGTTTCCTAGGGAAGCAAGAGAGATTCCAAATCCTAGTGACCCACTGCTTGTATTTTTATTACAATGACAAAACAACCAGCTCATCCTCCCACATCTCCCTTTGGCAAAGGCAGCTCCTATCCCAAGGCTCCTCCTGCTTATGTAAACACTTGCACTAGGAACAGGAATGGCCAGACACAAGTATCTACATGATCTTTGCTTTTTTAAAAGGAAACCACTTTGTAACACAGACTTTAGCTGGAAACACACTAAGAAAGCTGTCTCACAGCTGCTGGCTCTAAGGGAGGTTATAAAACAGGGTCTCAGCTGTGCATTCCAACCAAACCAAGCAGCAGCTTCCCCGCAAAGCAAATGAACCACTCACACAAGTCTTTGTCTTCATTACTGTGGGGACACATCTCATCTCCTGCAGCAGTGACAGCAACAAGGAGCCTTTGTACACACCAATTCATTGCAGGGCCAGTTGTGTTTGGGTTGGGTTTTTCCAGAATGAATTTTCTATCTGGGTGCAGGTCTGGCACACTGTTGTAAGGATAGGGTCCCACAGGGCACAGCAGCACAGATGGTGGCATCAGCATTTACAGAATGGGTGAGAGTTGTGATCAGCAGCCAATTTCCCCATGGAATTGTTTCCCCTGCCCAAGGGAGCCCAGAGACCAGTCTCTCAGCTCCCCAGCAGATGGTTCAGGTTGCACAGGGAGCTTTGCCCTTTTGTTAAGGCCAAAGTCTCACAACAGGGCACTGAGAGGAGCCCAGACCTGCCCCAATGTTTCAGGACCTCAGCTTCCATTCCCTTTCTGCTGGAGTGCGTATCAGAAGGAATGAGACCCAGGAAGCAGGATGACAATGAACAATGATGACAATGAATGTCCCTGCACTGCTCCTGCAGCACCTCGGGCCTGACAAGAGCCTGGCTCAGGGGCTGTGCAGGAGCAGGGCTGTCCCTGCCCAGCAGGGTGAGTGCAGGCAGGCAGATAGACAATCACACACACACAGAGCAGCCCAGCCCGGCTATCGGGACAGGCAGGGCCCGCACACACACACAGGGCACACACACCTCATACACACCCACAGGGCACCCACACACACCTCATACACACCCACACACCACACACACACAGACCCACCGCTCCTGGGGCTGCTCCCGCGGCCGGGCGCTCTCCGTCACCGCCGCCGCCGTGGCCTGGCCTCTCCATCGCAGCGGCACCCGCAGCTGGCTGCAGCTCCTCAGCACTGCAGAGAGACACAGCCTGTCAGTGCTGATCCCCTGGCACAGCACACAAACCCCCCAGCCCTGTCAGTGCTGATCCCCCCGGCACAGCACACACACCCCCCAGCCCTGTCAGTGCTGATCCCCTGGCACAGCACACAAACCCCCCAGCACGGGCAGATCCCCCCGGCACAGCACACAAACCCCCCAGCACACCGAAACCCAAAGCAAAGCCTTGCTCATCTGTGAGTTCCAATCATAACTCCAAAACACCTGGTAGAAACAAGGGGCTGACCCTGAGGAATAAGCGTCAGACTGTGTCACTCCTCCTGTGGGTCAGACACACCTGGGCTAATCCCAGACAGGACAGGATTTCCACACCGTGTCGACAATGCAGGTTAGACATCTGCTCCTGTTTGAATGCTGAGCAGCAGCTCCAGACTCCATGTACAAGTCTGCACACATCCCCCTCCCTCTCCAGCTCCCCTGGAGCCCCTTTAGCCACTGGAAAGGGCTCTGAGCTCTCCCTGGATCCTTCTTTTCTCCACACTAAACACCCCCAGCTCTCCCAGGCTGGCTCCAGAGCAGAGGGGCTCCAGCCCTGGAGCATCTCCATGGCTTTCTCTGGACTCACTCCAGCATCTCCTTATTCAGCCCTGAAGCTAAACACAACAAGATTATCCTTAAGGCTCCTTCCAACCCATATTCCATACAGCTCCATACAATTCCATGCTGCTTACAGCCTGCCTTTTCAAAGGCACACTTCATTCTCCTCGGGAGTTCATCGTCATTACAGGGTATTCTTTTAGCACAGAAATAGTGTGAATTGCTCATGGTGAAAAAAAAAAATAAGGTTAAATTCTGCATCCCCGTCTCTCCGGCAATTGTTCAGTGCGACATTTCCCCTGTCAGACCACGGGAGCTCAGCAGCAATTCAGCCCCAACAGCACAGAGCTTCTCAGCAGCCGACCCACCCGCTGGGAAGAGCATCTTACAGCTCACAGCTCTCTAATAACCTCCTGAACAGATGCTGAACGGCCTCAAAACCTGCTGAAATCAATGGCAACAAAACGCATCCTGCAAATCCAGCCTCTTACTCGGGATCATGAGTGCCTAGCCATGGATGCCTGCATCTGCACTGATACAAAAGGCTGCAAACTAAAGAACTTCAAGCATCGCTGATGCCTGAAAGGTCCTTTTCAAATAATCATTTTTTACTTCCAGTTCTGGGGTTATTGCTTTCTGAGGCGCTGGCACTATATGCCAGTTATAGAGAACAATAAAAAGAGAAGTTTCAATGGCTGCATTGATACTTCTGCACTGTAAGAACTCTTGTTCTTGGCCCAGAGGGTGGCTGGGCACCGACCAGGCTCCCCAGGGCATGGTCAGCGCCCCGAGGCTGCCAGAGCTCCAGGAGCGCTTGGATAACGCTCTCAGGCACAGGGTGGCATTGCTGGGTGTCCGGGGCAGGGCCAGGAGCTGAATCAATGACCAGGAGTCCCTGCCAACCCAGGACACCCTGCAAGAGTCTGACTTAGGCTGAGGTTTAGGCACGTTTCCACCTGCATCGTGAAGGACACAGCGCAGAGTGAGACGTGCAACGAGTACGATCCCAGCTTGATGGAGCATCGATAAAAGTGCTCTTTCACATGTTTTAAAAGCGGCACTACGGTATCAAAGTCTAAAGCGAGTATCGGGGTGGGTAAGCCCAAAGTGCCTCCGGGCAGGGACACAGCGAGCGCTGCGCGGGCGGAGGGCAGCGCTGAGCCGGGGCTCACAGCCCGCACCGGCCGGCAGCATCTCGGCACCAAGCCCTTCAGACAGACGGGAGAGCGGCTGTTTCAGAGCGCGGTTCCGCGGCGGGCACCAGACAGAGCCGCATAGAAAAGCGGCTGTTTCAGAGCGCGGTTCCGCGGCGGGCACCAGACAGAGCCGCACAGAAAAGCCGCACGGGAGAGCGGCGGGGCTGCGGCCGGGGCCGGGGCGCGCTGGCCTCGGCCGGACAGAGCCCTGCGGGCTGCCCGCGGAGACCTCGCGCCCGCGGCCCCCTCAGCGCAGCGGGGGGACGCCGCCATCACCGCGCGCAGCGCCGCGAAGCCCTCCCGCAGCCCCGGTAAGCCCGCCGGCCCCGCCGGCCCCAGCGCCGTCAGCGTTATGAAAGGCGCCTCTCGGGCGTTGTGTAACGCGGTGCCGCCGGTGCCGCGGCGCTCCCGCCCGCGCAGCGCCCGCGGTGTCCCGCCGGCCCTCAGGCCGCCCGCCGCCCCCGGCCCCCGTTCCCGCCATCGCGCGGCGCCCTCACACTCACAGTGACGCGCGGCAGCGGCGGCAGCGGCAGCCATCTTGGCCGCTCGCATTCCCTCAGACAGCCCCGCCGCCACCGCCCCTCGCCTCACACCGCCCCCGGCACCGCCCCGGCCCCGCCTCGGCACCGCCTCGGCACCCGCGCGGCCCAGGGGGCGGGCCGGGGACCGCAGGCGGCGGGCCCGGGGCGGGTGTCCCGCAGGGGGCGCTGCCCCGGCTCCCCTCAGTAGCCCCTGCGGAGTCCTACGGAATAAAGGCGAGTGATCCCTGGTTTGAAGTGACGCTCTAAACTGCAAAACTTTTTAAAACTGCAAAATCTTCTAAAAAGAGATTTAAAATGTTATTGTAAAAAATGCAGGGGGTTTTCTCAGCGGGCGCCGTATGAGAGACGAGAGTTCGGCTGTGCGTCCCTCAGACACAAGTGTGCAGGAGCACACTTAACTTCCATTCCTCCATTCCCAGTAGAAACTGAGGCACTGGAAAAGGCTGCCCAGGGAGATGGTGGAGTCACCATCCCTGGAGGTGTTTAAAAAGCATCTGGATCTGGCACTGGATGATGCGGTTTAGTGGTTTAGGAATTCCAAAGGTAGTGCTAAGTTGGTGGTTGGACTTGATGATTCTATGATAAGGATACTGCAATTGAAACACAGAGGAACAAACACCACAGCACTTATCTTGCACATGTGGGTGGCCTGCATCCCACATCTCAGCAGGCCAAGGGCAGAGCCAGCTCTCGGTGCCAAAGGCTGGCAGCACCACGTGCTCCTCAAAAGTGCCCTACAAAGCAGGGCCAGGTAAACTTTAACACAGGTAAACATAAAATAGTGCATGTCAGGAGTGGTAATCTAATCAAAGCTAAAGCACAATCATCCCAAAGCTGCCAGGGACATGGCTGAAAGGTCCTGAAACCAGTACTGCCAGCCCAGTATACCAGTTCCTAATCCAATTACCAATCTCACATTCTGGAGATACTGTGAAGGAAAATGAAAGTGAGGATGAGATCCAAGTTCTGATTACACATTTTTTCTCTTCTGCAGGCTTGTTTTCCCTGTCTAATAAAAATAAAGGTTCTCCTGTGTTCCAAAGAGCTGCAGCATCTTTCCCAGATCCCAGCCCACCTCTCTGCACCAGCTGTGAGCGAATTGCACAGCAGTCTCTGGTAAGTTCCACAGCATCTTTCATCTGGTCACCTTTTAAGCTCCTTATCTGATCTGCCTCTTCCATGAGCACTTCTTAAGTCCTCAGGCCTTCCTCTAGCAGCTCCCCTGATAAGGAGGCCTTTAACCTTTATAAAGCAGCTCAGCCCTGTCAGGTTTAAGGACTGAGAACTCATCCCAAACATGGGATGTTTTCCTGACACTCCTGCCTTCCCATCACTTCAGGCACTAAAAGGAAAGTATTTTATAAAGTCTTTACCTGGTGCCAGAAGTCCAGGCTGCTCCCTCCAGCACTGCTGCCTTAGTCAGCACCACATTGATTCTCTCCAGCACATTTCACTGGGCAGCTGAGGTGGTCCCTCCAAATTAGAAAAAAATCATGCTTTTAAGTTAATTAGTGGGGATTTTGTTTACAAAGGGAAAAAAAGCTCATGCCAGTTCTCGGGGTACATTTACTGCACTTGGGTAAGCGGGTTTTTGTCCACACTGTATCAAGCAGCAAGCTCCACAGACTCAGTAAAAGGAACAGGCATTCAAATACTGTCTTGCACACCAGCTTCTGTTGCCATAATTTATTGGTTGCTGATTTAGACCAGTTTATATAACATGCAAGATGAAGAAAACCAATCACTTATTACAAAAATGTGGGTATCCACAGCTCAACAATTCCAGGAGTGAACGGCAAATGCAGCCCAAGTCTCAGTGCAGGTGGCAAATGATGCACCTACCTTTTTCATCTCTCTGGTAAAGGAATTGCTTTATGACTAGAAACGATAGCGATGACTGAACACATGAAGTATTTCATTACCCCTATCTGATAAGTTCATTACAGCCAGGGGAGCTGCTCAGCTGCAGTAGCACAAGGGAACAGGGAGCTGCTCTATGAACACATCTCAGCATGACATGGGAAAGCCCTGCTGGCACTACAGCCTGAAAACCCAACGTGTTTCAGTTGCTATTGCTCGGGGTCTCAGTCAGTCACTCCTGGCTGCACACAGGGAGCAAAGGCACCACAACCCCCGTGCCCAGGAGCCACCAGACACGTGCAGCTGGGCGTGCATGGACCCACGGCAGCTCCACCCACAGCCTGGGGAAGGGGAGCAAAGCCTGCCTCACCAGCCTCAGCACCGCTGAGCAATAATAAATAATCTGAAAGAACCCCAAAGCCCCAGCCCACCCCTCTCACAGTGGAGTCCAGTGCACTGTACTCACACCCTGCTACCGAATCAACTCAGAGAACCCCCATTAAAATCAGCAGGAACTAAAAACGTGCAGTGCCCAAGGAACTTATTCCTGTTTTTATCCTTTGTTCGTGCCTCTCCATACTGTTCTCACAGGGCACTCTGAGGGAATTTCAGGAGCTTGAACGCCTGACATCCCCAACAAGAAACCCCAAGAGAAAGGAGATTAAAATGAAAGCAAATTTAAAAATAAAATGATCAAATGCCCAGCATATTTTAAGTCACAGAAATTAAAAGCAGAAGTGTATCTTGTTTTCTAAATGACAACTTATCAGGATCTTTGCTTTGTGATGACTCAAGAGCATAAATGCACCTAAACAATTTTTCTAAGGCTTTTTCCAGTTAATTACTAGTATATTGTTTTAAAAAAGAGGTTTTGGGTTTTTTTCCTTTTCACATCCTAAACTGGTATTTGGATTAGCAACAGGTTGCAGGAAGTCTTGTTGTAGACAGGCTGTAGTACAGCAGCGTGTATCATTCTTGCCCAAGCATCGGCTGCTCAGTTTTCCAGGAGTTCTTCCCAAGGATGGCTAAGGTTTGCAGCGCTGCACAAAGCGTGGATAGAGACAGACATCTCGGATGTGGTGTCTGTTCAGGATCCAGGTCAGGAACCGCTCCAATCCCAAACCGTATCCTCCGTGAGGGCACGTACCATATTTTCTCTGTGAAATCCAGGGAGTGATATTACACATTTTCTAGTAAGTTGCAGTAACACCATCAGAAACAAAGCAGCCAAGCCCTGTAGGAGGGGAGAAGCCCCAGGTGGGGTCTGAGCCCAGCACAGGGTGCTGTACTGACCTGATCCGTGTACCAGTAGTAGGGCGTGGGATCGATGCCCTCTCTCTTGTAGCCCTCGAGCAGCTCCTCGCTGTCCCAGATGCGCATGGAACCGCCCACGATCTCGCCCACATTGGGCATCAGCACATCCACCTGCAGGGCACCACAGCACGGCCCACTTACAGCTGAGCCACCACAGAGGGCACCAGACAGCCCTGCCAAGGCACCCGCAACAAAACCCGGCAGGGATTCTCCAAGGGATTCCTGCAGCATTCATGCCCTCACACATCCCCATGCTCCAAGCTACCCCAGACAGCCCTGCCAAGGCACCTGCAGAAAAACCCGGCAGGGATTCCCCAAGGGGTTCCTGCAGCACTCGTGCCCTCACACCAAGCATGCTCCAAGCTACCCCAGCAGGTTAAAGGACTCACAGACTCGGTGAGGCGCGAGTCGTCGCTGCAGCGCTGCATGTAGAAGGACTTGATCTCTGCAGGGAAGCGGCACAGCAGGATGGGCTCGTTAATGGTGTCTGTCATCAGCCTCTCGGGAGCTTCGGGAATGTCCTAGGGTCAGAGCAGGCTTTATTCTTATTCAGCACCACAACTACGCCCACACACAAATCCCATGTGAAGCGGGCATGAAATGAGACAGTTTCACACTGCACATGTCCACACTTTCTTCCTAATTACCTAAACTCTTAAAACTTATTTTAGAAGAAATAAAAACCCACATGTCTGGGAAAAGAAAAATCTGTTCCATTAAAATCTAAGTCTCTCTAATATATGGGACAGAAAACCAAGGGGAAAAAAAATCCTGGCTATGCTGTCAAGTTCTCCTGAGCTCCTTCAAACAACTGTCTCACATGCTGGAGAAATGTGGCCAGGGAATTGATGGCAGGTGACAACACAGGCTTCTATCCCAGTGCCGAAGGTCATCAGATCAAAGCCCAACCCACAGCTGCATCCCTAGATGCCATACCTCCCCAAACTCATAGTAAGTGCCATCTTCCTTCTTCACATCGTGCTCCTTGAGCCACTCGATGGCTTCAGCATAGTTCATGCGTCGGAAGGGACGCTTGGGGGGCTGGAAACCCTGGGGATAAGAGCAAACACAGGTGCAGGAGCACCATTTTAAAAGGGATACTTTTCTAGCTGATCAGCACATCCATAACCTTTCCCAGCTCCCATGCCATCAAATTATCACTTAAATGAACAAATTAAGCTCAGTACTACAAAGCTAGAACCAAACACAACCATCTCAAGCCCAGTAAATCTCATAGATCACATGGGAGGAAAGATAAGGAAGTATTTCCAGAGCTTTAGGCTCATATTCCAGGGGAGGAACTGAAACACCACTTGTTTCATTGCTCCCTCATGCTCCATCAGCAAGCACCAGCCGGTCAATACCTATCTCTGGGATGGAGGGTTTTATTCCACTGGCACAGCACATGCTTCCACAAATCCTGGCACACTGCTGGCTTCTGGAGCACACTAGCAGGGAACATCTTCCCCCACAGTTCCCTGCTTTGGTCTCTACCAGCCTTGCAGTTTTTTCATTCTTATTATGTTTAATATTCTTCTTGGCCTTACAAATAGCAAGTAAGCTCACTGCCATGCCCTGCATTTCCCAAAGGAATGTGCTGAGTAGGAAAGGCTTAAGGTCCTATTTTCTTGGCTGTTCCCATTGCTGTGCCTACCGGGTTGAGGTCGTACAGTAAGCTCGCTGTAGGTGATTTCAAGACTCTGTCTACAACATCACACACCAAGTTCTCCAGACGGTCCAACAAATCCTCAAAACTTATGAAAGGACATTCAGCTTCGATGTGAGTGTACCTGGAACAAAACCACACCACTGCAAAGTCACGTACCAGCAACGCATCTTCAGCTATGAAACAAACTCATCTAAA